AGACTATGAGGAGCCTGGACCCGATGAAGGACCTGAACCAGGGGATTGATGGACTTTTATGTTTGATGGTGCTTTTAATGTTTATGGTTATGGAGTTGGGGCAGGGCTAACATCTCCCAAGAATTTTCACCTACCATTCACAGCCAAGCTTTACTTCGAATGCACAAACAACATGGCTGAATATGAAGTTTGCATGATGGGATTAGAGGAGCCCATTGACTTGAGGATCAAAACCCTTGATGTTTTTGGAGACTTTTCCCTAGTAATACATCAAACCAGAGGTGATTGGGAAACCAGACACATCAACTTAGTTCCATATTGGGATTATGTGTCGAAATTACTCCCCAAATTCGATGATATCACTTTCACTCATGTGCCTCGAAAAGAGAATCAAATGGTAGATGCTCTAGAAACTTTAGCATCCATGTATAAATTGATATGACCCAACCATTGATGCGTCCGCAAGTGCCCGGAAATATCGAAGTAATATAAAAGATTTATCGAACCCACAGAGACCAATGTCAACCTACCGTTATCTATTGTCGCGGCGCAAAGCTAAGGCTAATGGAATTAGGAGAGTTAAATGCGAATGAAATTAAATAAAACGGAAATAAAGATTTTTTTAGTTTAAGGAAGAGCGGTAAAGGGATATCGGTATGTAATGCTTTAGTTTTCGGGGGTTCGACAGGTCGCCGGTGCTTTTTAGTCTTTGCAAACACTTTTCAGGAGAAAATACTCGTTTAAAGACCTTTGCCTCACGATGGTTGTTGACTCGGGTCATAATTCTAAGGCGGAATGTACGCTCTCGCAGTCCCTAGCCGTCTGAGGGTCGTGACGGGGTAAAAGCACATTGATAAGGCTTCTAGGGCCGTTTTGAGCTTCCACTGGGTCTCAATCTTCTTAAGTGCATTTCAACTCTCTGAGGTCTCTTATTGGATAAACTCTCTTACAAGAGACATCGCGATGGAACACCCTTTAGAAGAGTTCCCGTCGAGCACACAGGGAGAGAAGTGTAAGATGCTCCCCGCCACAGGATGGGTATGAGGATCCCACGCCTCTACCCAAAGCAGAGAAGAAAAAATGAAAAGGGTTGAATCAACAGAGCTACCCATAGTTTGGACTCTGCTCAGGACTCCCAAAGCAACGATCGCTGGAGGAGAATGTATATACATGTGCCTTTTTCATCTAAAGCATTTTTATGGCATTTTACCTTATCTGCAGGTAGAAAACACATAAATCAGGGATATATTAGCTTTGAAACAAAACATAAAGGAAGAAACATCCTACATAACCCATCGACGATATGCCACATCCATTTTTGATGCAACCTCCACCAACAAGCGCGTCTATATGTAGTTCTTCTTCTATTTTTTTTTTAAATTACCTCAGAAGACATGACATCGTCCATGAAACCCACGTTTTCCCAGAAATTCACAAAACCCCTCTTCAAATAATTCTCCTATTGAGATAAATTTTTAGGAATATATACATAAGTCTCAGCCCGAACCATGAAATGATTTTAATGCCACAATTTATGAAACCTATCTAAACATTTAGAGGGAGAATCAAATTAGACATCACATGTACTTGCATGAGCGACCTCGGAGAAATGAGTAACTAGGCGTATTAATATTTGAAATTCTTCATACTATTAGAATAGACCTTGAACATCTTTTGGCCCTGCTTAAAAGAAAGTAAGCCTTGACCCTAAGCCAAGTTGGCTGATTGGTGTTGAACATTTAGGAGGTGGGAAAAGGGTGTCAAGGTCGACACACTTTTCTTATACTTGCGCTAGTATTGGAAGACTTTGGAGTAGGCCTAACTCACTAGATGTAATTGCGAGGGGAAAACCCTTAAATAGTTATGAACGCCCACCTAAAAGTCATTGAAAGGAAGACATACGTATGTCATGGAAAACAAGCATTCATAAATAGGGATAGAGATCCCTCAAATTTGCTACATACCCTTTTGTCTCCTTCGGAAGGAACACTTTCCAGTTTGAGGGAGAGTCCACCTCCATGAAAGTATGACCCAAACCACCCGCACATACAAACACGAACACGATATCTAACGTTTCTTGATCTACCCACATAACCCAACTCTTCTCCTTTGTGTTATGGGGTTCTTGATGAGCCTAATAGTCTATTACAGGATTACTACCAACACAAAAAGATTAATTATAAGTATAAGCCTGAAATTAAGATTCCAACCACCACATCACATTTTTGTTTGTGGAATCACAACCAAAATCATGATGTTGCACTCTAATGTAAGTTTGGGCTTTGTGTTCTTGCTTGAAGGCGTCTACAACAGTTGGATTCATTAAAGGTAAAGTGGGAAAAATAAACCCCTATCAGTCTCCTTGAGATCGAGGCTACCAACAACCCTTCCATCCTCGATCGTAACTTTTTCTTTCTAATCTTCCACAAACATCTTCCCAAAAACCTAAGTAAATGGGAAACAAATACAAAAGAGAAAAAGAATTTGGTCGTTACGTCGAAATAAGTGATCTTGGTAGGTCGCACAAGTAAAGGCCAATAGAGAGACATCACAAAGATGTCAAAGCAATAATCGAGGAGAGTTATTTGCAAAAACTAGAAGCAACTGCCGAAAAACAAAGAAAGAGTTCTTAGACCTCAAAAGTGAAAGAAAATAGGAAACATTTATGCATTGACCCCTTATATATCCCATTGTGCAGCTGTTACATGATCAATGTTAAATATCATCGAAAAGGACAACCTTGCCACCAAAGGTCATGATCTCATCTCGATATATTCAAATACTCAGGTACCCTAAAAAGAGGGCCATAATCACTACCTAACCTAGAACCACGCGTCAAGTTCGTCCCAAAAAACATTATAATTACAACAACAACATTCAATGCGCACACTCTCGATGCAATCGACTCCACCTCAAAACCTTTCCAATTCCCTCAATGGGATGTAAACTTGAAACTTCGATTAACAATCAAGGGTAACCTATGACACACGGTTTTCGCTTTAACAAGTAGTAACAGTGACTTGAGGACAACTGCTATGTGCCTTTTGTAAGACCCATGGATGAAGGTCCAATCACAGGGCCTAACACGAAAGAAGGGGACAACTAGTGGAGAACATGTGATACCTCAACCAAACACATATCATTCAATCCCAGTCTCCAACATATCGCCCACTGCTAAATCTACCAAATGAAGATACACACAAAATATCGAGTTAAGTGGGAGCAATTTAAATTCTTCATTCTATATAAACTTCACAAACGCCAATTTCAAATACCTTTTCACCTTTACTCTAAATTACTTTTTAAATATTTAACTAATTTAAATATTATATTAACCTTATACGTCTACCTTGCTCTGGCTACTCTTTTGTATCAAAAGTACTTATCAATACATAAAAAATCTCATTAATACTTTTTTCCTATTTTTGAATGTATTACGAAACAATACCAATAACAATGTATATTTTGTTATAGAACATATTTTATTCGCTTTTACTTATTTTTATTTTTAAAATAATTTAGAAAGGCACCTAAACATTGAGTTAGCATGTGTCATTTGTTATACGAGTTTCCTACAATATAGGAATGCTATTTTTATTTTTATTCTTAAATAAATAAATATCCTTAGGTCTAAACAGCGTTGGAATTTCGAGTTACAACAAAATTTGCCTTTACATACGTGACAAATGGAGAATGAATTTTAATAGATGATGTAAACAAGATCTACTTTTTTGTCTAATCATAACATCAATAAGTAATGAAAACAAAAGACTTGATTAAAAAATGGAGGAGGAAAAATACAATGATGCACTTTGGGAATGCAGGCCAATTTTTTCCTCCATCTATCACAATAATCGTCAAATCTTAAAAGAATAATTGATATCACACTTTACATTTATGATGTTCATTAGTAATAATTAATAAAATATCTTTTAATAACTTCATTAATTGTCTAAAAAATCTTAAAGTACATTAAATAAAGCCATCATAGCATAAGATACATAATTAAATAAAAAGCAAGAAAGTTGTGAGTTCTACTAATATTCTCCAAAATCATACACAATATTATTATTCCATATAACATATATACCATGGGACCTACTATTTCTTTTTTCTTTTCTAACAAAATATATTAAACAAATAAAAAAAGAAGAAGAGTGTAAGAAATTGCAGGTTCTCGGTTTTTCATATAACAAAAATTCAACATTATCTCTTCTTCTTTTGTAGCGTTTACGTCAAGAATGTTAAAATCTTACAATTTTCTATAAACCATGCTTTCGTTTCCTTCCATTTCACGTATTTCAGATTCCAAACTTTGAAGCTTTCTCTCTTATGTTCTTACCAGATAAGTTTTTCATTCATGTCAAATTCTTGTTGAATTTGTTGTTTATTCTTTTCTCGAATTCAGTTTTCTGATAATTCCAGAGAGGAATTTCGTTCTCATTCAAATCTGAGTTTGGTTGTTGTTGTCCCCTCTCTGAATTGGGATTTGTATTCTTCAGAAACAAATCCTGATTTGGAGAGACGGGTATGTGTAAATAACCTAGTTGTTGTTTCTTCAGCTTTAAGGCTTTGAGCTTCTTTCATTATAGCTTCTACTACTCTTGTTCTTGTATGTAGCTTTCAGCTATTATTTACTACTATTTTTTATTTTTTTTATTGAAACTCGTTGTGTTTGGTTTTTGATTCTAGGTTTTTTGTGTATGCAATTGAAAAAAAAAAAGAGAGGAAAGTTTTTATTTACTACTGAGGTCTCGGTCTAGGTCTCAGTAGCACTGACATCTTTCAAAAAATGCAGTGTCTGTGTCAATGTTGTGTCCAAAACCGATACCTTTACTTGTGATTACATTTAATTAATTTATTTTTTAAATTATTATTGGTGTCAGCGTGTCAGTGTTGGTATTGTATTTCTAGTGTCTGTGATTTATACTGTGAGGGTTGTGGATTAGGAAACTTGTGTCTAGGATTAGTTTGTTTACTATTTGATTGTTGGGTTCGAAATGGGGAAGAAAAAGAAGCAAATAGGGGAAACAAGTGAAGAGAATGGGAATCATAGAACGATTGAGGATAAAAGTTCAAATGTGTATGATAAGGATACTTTTGTGTTTATATCCATGGCTCAAGAGTTGAAGGAAGAAGGCAACAAGATGTTTCAGAAGAGAGATCTGCAGGGTGCTATGGTAAAGTATGAGAAAGCGCTCAAGTTGCTTCCGAGTAATCATATAGATGTGTCGTATGTGCGTAGCAATATGGCTGCGTGTTATATGCAGATGGGACTTGGCGAGTACCCTAGGGCAATTAATGAATGCAATTTGGCTCTTGAGGTTACTCCGAAATATAGTAAAGCTTTGTTGAAGAGGGCGAGGTGTTATGAGGCTTTGAATAGACTTGATTTGGCGTTGAGAGATGTTAGTGCTGTTTTGGTGATGGAGCCGAATAATATCATGGCGGTGGAGATCTCGGATAAGGTGAAAAGTGCGCTTGAAGATAGAGGACTAAGAGTAAATGATGCGCAAATTGAGTTGCCTCCAGATTATGTTGAACCTTCTTTTGGTGTCTCTTCTAAAAAGGTAGTGAAAGAAAAGAAACACAAGAAGAAGAGCAAAAAAGAGAAGGTGACAGCTTCCAATGAAATCGTAGAAAATCAATCTGAGGAGAAACTTGAGGTAGTGAAAGAAAAGAAAAACAAGAAGAAGAGCAAAAAAGAGAAGGCGACGGCTTCCAATGATCTCGTAGAAGAAAATCAAGCTGAGGAAAAACTTGAAGAGAAGAAAGATGAGGACAGCATTGCAGCACATGAGACTGACGAGGGTAGTAAATCTAAAAAGAAGGCAGACAAGGAAAAGATTGATAAGCTGAAAGATGATGTTAAGGAGCTCAATGAAGAAAAAAGTAATGGTATAAACGAAGCTGTACCTAAGAAAACAGTGAAACTTGTTTTTGGCGATGATATAAGATGGGCTCAATTGCCAGCTAATTGCAGCCTCTTTCAGCTAAGAGAAGTTGTTTGTGACCGGTTCCCAGGCCTAGGAGCAGTTCTTGTCAAATATAGGGATCTAGAAGGTGATTTGATCACAATCACTTGTGATGAAGAACTGATGTTGGCTGAAACAGGATCACAGGGTTCCATTCGACTGTATATAGTAGAAGCTAATCCTAATCACGACCCATTCTACGACAAACTTCACGTGAAGGATGTTGAAATTGATAATGCTCCTAAGAATGGCTGTATGGTAAAATCAAACAAAATTATTAGCCCGTCTTGTGTTGAAGATTGGATCATTCAATTTGCACAACTGTTCAAGAATCATGTTGGATTTGAATCTGACAGATACTTAGATTTTCATGAACTTGGGATGAAGCTCTATTCAGAGGCTGTGGAGGAGACGGTTACAAGCGAAGAAGCGCAAGGCCTATTTGACATGGCAGGAGGTAAATTCCAAGAGATGACGGCTCTAGCACTATTCAATTGGGGAAATGTTCACATGTCCAGGGCAAGGAAGAAAGTGTATTTAACTGAAGATTCTTCTAAAGAGCATATGTATGAACAAATCAAAAGTTCATATGAATGGGTGCAAAAAGAATATGCCAAAGCTGGAGAAAAATTTGATGCAGCCATTAAAATAAAGTCAGATTTTTATGAAGGCTTCCTTGCTCTAGGTCAGCAGCGGTTCGAGCAAGCAAAACTTTCCTGGTATTATGCACTCAGTAGTAATGTAGATTTAGCAACATGGCCCTCCACAGAGGTTCTTCATCTTTACAACAGTGCTGAGGAGAATATGGAGAAAGGAATGCTGATGTGGGAAGAATCGCAAGAGCAGGAAACGAGTGAAACCTCCAATATTGAATTGAACGGGCTATTTAGAAATATGTCATCAGATGAAACTGCTGCACTGGCCGCAAACATGAGGTCTCAGATAAATCTCTTGTGGGGTACGATGCTATACGAGCGGTCGATTGTAGAATTCAAATTAGGGCTACCTATATGGCATGAATCTTTGGAAGTTGCAATCGAGAAATTTGAACATGCAGGAGCTTCTCCAACAGATACAGCTGTAATGTTGAAAAACCATTGCTCAAATAACACTGCCGTAGATGGTACATTCTCTCTCCTAGCTAGAAAGTCTTATGCATAATAGATATGCATTTGTTCATATATACTAACACTTCTTCCTACAGGTCTAGGTTTCAAAATTGATGAAATAGTTCAGGCATGGAATGAGATGTATGAAGCTAAAAAGTTGCAGAAAGGAGTTTCGTCCTTTCGCTTGGAAGCCATGTTCAGAAGACGAGCGTCAAAAATTTACCATGCCTTTGAGCTTGTATGAGTTGCATGCTTTTCTTCAAGTTTTTGAAGAATCACAGGGCCAACACTCACATATTTTGCTTCTGTGCTTGAATTGCTATTGTCACCACCATAAGGTAACTGAAAGTCTAAGACCTATACTGATAAAATTCATATTATTGCTTCTCTTTAAGTAGTGTTTTCAATACTTGCATTTGTTTATTTGTATGATTTGTTCTCTGACATGTGCATTTCTGTAAAATGCAAAAACCTATGTGTGCATCCTGCAAAAGCTTCTTACAGATGTGAGAATGATAAGTTTATGTAGTCCGTAGAGTATTGGTGTAAGATTTAGCAAATGAAAATTTCAGTACGGTTATGGAAACTACTTCTCAATCTGTAAATAAAACACTCATTAAGAGGGTTTGTAGCATGAAAAAGAGTAGTAACAGTATAATCATAAGTAGTCACTAAAAAAGTTACTGCTGGTATGTCCAGCATTCGACATTGACATGACACTGGTATATGTGATTACGTTCAACCACTTCAATTTTCTCATATTATTAAAGGCGTCTACATGTCAATGTCGTGCCTGGAAGACTATATCTATGTTTGTACTTAATAGGTAGGGTCATGTAGGCAATTAATTGTAATTGAGGGGGGTGGGAATAAACTGGGAAGAGAGAGAGTTAGTGACTGTCAAGTTGACACTTGTGACAGTAAATTGTAATGAAACTGCAGATCGATTAAATAGGAAAGGGAGAGTCTAGGTTTCTTGAACACCAACATGAGCTAGTTTATTATTTTCAATATTTTATTGTATCCATATTAATTCTTGTATATCAATACACTAAGTTATTAAGTAGAGTTTGTGACTTGAATAAACTTTTTCTCAGTCTCATTAACCCCGATCCTGTTCTATTAGGGTCCCTTTTTTGATGTCTTGTTGTTAAAAAAAATTAGTTTGCTTTGTGTTACACCTTAGATATGTTTTTATAAGAGTAAAGCAATTAAATGAATTCATTGGCTAAGGTCAATTATTCTGCAAGTGTCTTTGAAAAATAATATTTCAAGAACTGAATCTCCAATTGAATTAATTTGAGTCATGAAGCAAACTGAATTACTGGAAATAGATTAATTTATGTGATGTTTTGAAATATTTTCTTCTTCCATGCGCCGTTTTAAAGACTAGTTGGAGAGATGAGACGATTCTTTTGAACATGTTTGTACGTAAGTCTTTTGTAGAACTTATGGAAATAGTGTTTGATATGCCTAAAATCTATTTCCAGCTTAATTCAATATGCTCTCTAGGATAGCTGATGAAAACAAATACAACTTATATACTAATATTTACTGTATAAAAAACACATATGAAGGCTATTTAATTACTCTTTTTGTTGGTTTTAGAAATAGCTTATTTAAAAGAGCTTGTATAATAAGTTCTTATTCAAAAGCACTTAATTAAGTTGTTTATGACAAAAGAGCCTTTATTACATTATGAATTTATGATGTAAGTGCAAATAATAAACTTCTAGCAATAATTGAACTTGATAGTGTTGATATAGTGATTACTGATTAGTTTCCCGAATTTAAGAAATAGCAAACTAGTCCCAAACTAAAAAACGTCAATGAATTTCATCCCCAAATTGAAGCATCTCTTTTTTTGAGTCTCTAGACGAAGTGATAATAATCACTTGAAACTTACACACACAACTATGAGGTCCAGGGTTCGAACCCTGATGATGGCGTCCAACCTAGCAATATCTACTTATTGCCCTTTGCGTGATTTGCGGACAATTGAAATATCTCTTTACTAAACATAAAAAACAATAAAAGACCTGCATAGTGCATATGACTTGAACAGTCTCTCAATGCATCAAGATAAGCATAATACTTTTAAAACTATGGTGCTAAATTTGGAAAAGGACTGAATTGACTTGCATTATTCAATTAAGGGAGTGCATTTTTATTTCGCAAATTTGAGAGGTTAAGTTGACCGAACCTTACGATTTTAAGAACTAAAATGCTGATTTCCTCAATTTGAACATAGAATCCAAATTCCAATGAACATTTTGTCACATGTGTTGAGATTTTGTGCACGATTGGCATTGGTTAATGGTATTAGCTTCAGTTGGATTTTGTTCATAAAATATGACAACGACTTATATATTATACTTATCTTTGCTGTGTTATTCTGCAGGTTTGTTTTGATATTTCCAGGAGTTTGGTTTCTAGTTCAATTAACTCTAGTTATAGAAAAGAAGGGGGAAAACTATTCTTTGCATTGTGCTTACATAGGTGTTTGACGAATGTAGGAGATTGCGAGTTCCTTAACAGGTTGGGAAGATGGAGATGCAGGAATTGCTTTTAACTCAATTTCTGGCTTTGCTCACATTGCCTTCCCTTTATGGTTAGGTTTAGGATGTTTTGAATTTATACAGAAATCAGTGGGAGATTTGTAATAGTTGGTTTGTGTTTTCTTGGTTCTGTAATTTATCCATTTGTAAACTACTTGTTTTGTTAGTATTTCTTCATCAGATCTCTTGTACTAGTTTTTTTTATTTATTTATTATTTATTTTTTATAAGGATGATCATAGAAAAATTTAAGATTGTTTGAGCTGAGAGTAGAAATAGGATGAAGATAAAAGTATTTATGTTGCATCTCTTCCACCATTTTTAAATGTTCTTTTGACTTAGTTAAAAAAAAAAAGAAACTCTGTTGACATCCATGTCTCATGCACTCTGCCACTTATGTTTGTATAAACATCTGTTTAAATTTAATTGTATATGTATTCATCTACCATCCATTGAATGCAATATTATTATTTTCTTTTATAAATTAATACAGTTAAATTTTAATCAATTTTGCTAAGAGGATATCGGTTCTCAATTCAAATACAAGGGCATCAAAAAAATTTATTTATTTTTATTTTTTATTATTATTATTTTCTTTTTATAAATGATGTAGAAAATTGTTATTCATGTAAAAGCAATGTGAGCAATGCCTCGGAGGAAGTCAGAGCTTTTAACTTGCCAGCCCAACACTTCATTCAATTTGACACCTCATAGTTTTATAATTTCAAAACTTGTCTTTGAAATAAATTTTTGGGAAACAAATCAGAATTTTCGGTACAAATTAAATTTTCAGTAGTGTATTTATAATTTTTGATATTATCGGAATTTTTAAAATTTACATGAACTTACAAATATTATCAGAAATTCTAAATGTACCATTTTATACCGAAAATTCAATCAAAGTGAAAATTTTGATAGTGTTATTTGTTTAAAATTTTAAATATTCAGGATTTTGCCGACAATTTTAGACGGATGTGATTGCACCGACAATTGTGTGGTACAAAATAAATGCAAAGTTGAATAAATAAAGGGGGTCACCTGTTATTTGATAAAAACATCTCAAAATGTCTCTTAATCTTTTATTAAGACAAAAGTGCACTTCAACGAAGTTTTACCTTCCGTAGAGTTCTGGCTTTTGGATGACACCACATCTCTTGTCGCATTGACATCTAAGTTGAATGAATTGTTGTCTGATACCGAAAACAGAAAGGTGAGAAAGATCAATTTTCGTGAAGATTGGATTGATACTGATGGAAGAGTGAAATACAACCTTATTGAGTTGAAGACCGATGAAGACGTGAATGATATATGTAGATCATTTCACCATAGGTTAACAAAGGGGTCGGTCGAGTTAGATGCTAAGATTTCAAGGTTTGTTGACAATATAATTAAGATGGTGAAACATCCAGAATCATCTGGAAGTGTCTAGGCTTTCTTATTAATTATCATTTTCTTAAGTTATGTTTAAGTTATGTGCTCCAAAATTTATGTTCATGTTGCATCAATGAAAGATAAAAAATATTATCTAATTAAAACTTGATGAAGATGTCTTAGTAATGTTACATGTAATATACAAATAGTAAATAAATAAAATATAAAGATAACAATAATGTCTAAATAGGTTCCCTACGGGCTATGTCTGCAGCACGAGATAATATAGTATAAACCTCGCCATTTGGGTTTAGCAAACCCATGAGGTTATTCATAATAACTGCAATTAGCTAGAGGCGTTGTTGATCATCGACATTAGTTGTAGGAGGCGGCGACGACACATCATTGATAGGTACCTCAACATCGGAAGGCCCAACATCATTTGTATGCTCAATAGGTGGGGTGATGCGAGAGTGTGATAGGTACCACTCCATGTAACCATCCTCAGACTACGAGGCATGTTGAACCGTAACTGCGCGATCTCTAATGGCACGACCAGAGTTAATGATGTTACTTTGAAACTATCTATCAATGCCCACAGATGGAATATTCGGAACTGGTTGTGGGATGCTCAGAACATAACCATACTTTCGCAAACACCTCTAAGGTAAGTGTCTAGCAACCATGGTTTCCCACCACATATAACCTAAATATAAAAAGGAGTTATCAAACTCACGGTGGATTGTATGATCAGTGTATGATGTCTAGATGACATCATATATGGTCAGTGCATCTAGCTTCCTCTTGTACTCCGTAACACTATCGGGATGTGACTATCTGGCCCTCCATATCCTCACTCGTGGGGCTCCCACTAGAAAATGTTACACCCTCCTGTCACAGATGATGGGGAAATGCTCGTATATCCAGCACTGATATTAAAACACAGACACAACAAATAATAATTAAGAAATTATGTAACAAATAAATAAGAAATAAACAACAAATAATAATTTCAAGTATACTTGTAATAGACTCAAATAACCCGCAAGTTGTCTGATCTCAAATATTGTCGCTAATCCAAGTGTTGTATACATGATGGTTAATGCAACGCACCCCAAGCCCAACTAGTAACTTCAAGGCTACCGAACAACCACATGTATCGAGAATCGATATAAACTCCTGACATGTCTGCAAAGAGGGTACATGCTATTATATGTAGCATGTACACCCTAGTGGAAGCCTCATAACTCTGCGCAACCACAAGCTCATCATACTTATCCCGAAGTCAAGACATAAGAAGATGAACTCCTTTGTTA